AGATAATAATGATTTAAACTACTACACAATCTACCAAGTTCAAATTCATACGCTTGAACCGGTGAACCATTAGAATCGGCCCCGGTTCACCAGTTCAACTGGTTTTAGACCGGTTCGAATGGTTCTTGACCGGTTTTCCTGCATAGCGTTTTGAAGGCTCAAACCGGACCAGAATGAAGGCCGGTTCCCGGTCCAACCAGTTGAACCGTCATCCCATCCGGTTTTCTAAACAATGGTATTTTAAATAATGGCATTCTGTCCAGTTTTCTAAACAATATGTTATATGCACCAATACTCAGCATTCCACGAGAACTGCGACATCCAGATGAATAGTGACCACGATAACAATCAATAATTCATGTATGCCCTAGAAAAAACTAGTGTAATTTCTATCAAATTCAAGGTAACTGTCAAGATCCATTTAATCATGCATGATCTATTAGTTTTTATAAATTATAATTATATTTCAGTATATATAAAAGTGTGAATAAATTATGTTTTGTATGTGTCTGATTGTAGTTTATTTCTTTTGGATTGTCTTACCCTTTCAATGAGTTGAACCCGGTGGTTCTAAGTCGATTTAAGATTAGCTGATGTAGGACACATAATTAAGAGTCACAACTTTTTTTTTGTCCTTTGTAATTATCGATTGGTCAATACTTTGAACTTGTCTTCTTTGAGGTTCATGTGTAAAATCTCATGTTCGCACTCTATTCTCGTTATTACACATCGTGATGTATTGATTTATTTATATATTGATTGTATTCACGTTGTTGTGCTGATTTGTTTGCCCTCTCTAGAAAAGCAGGGAATTAAATATGAGTTTACGAGGTAAGTACGGATTAGGCTACGTTTATTCACATAGTACTGTAATTGGATAATGAGCACGTGAAACCGATCTAGAAGGCTCGAGGAAACCCCTCGAGAGCACACCTAAATAATAATTGTTTGAAAATCTGGTTTGGAAAAAGTGACTCACAAAAAAAAAATAAGAAAAAATAAAAAATAAAACAACAGAAGAAAAGAAAGAAAAAGAAGAAGAAAGACACATAAAGAGGGAGAAACTTGATCTTATGTCATTGATCTTATTGTTTAAGTTTGAGTTGGCTTGTAATCTCTTGGTCTTATTGAAAATATTTGTATTGGGAGACTGAGAATCCACGTATGATGCATGGGTAGAATTATAAAAGTTGACTTGTGACGAGTCGATCATGTATGGAAGAGAATTGGACATGTTTTATTTTGTATAATTCGAGATTGTGGGAAACATATTTCCAAACTGAATATTGACTCTAAGAATTCCGAGGTAGGATGAGATCGATATACATTAGGACATGATAAACGAGTAAGCAACTTTATCTTTTTGAAAGGTTGACGAGATTGTTTGTCTGAGGACAAACAAAAGGCTAAATGTGTGGGAATTGTTTTGTATGTTTCTGTTGTTATTTTGTGTGTTTTTATAGGTTTTATTTCTTCTCGTTTTAGTTTGTTTTAGGTTTTTCCGGTCCATTTAGTCTTTTTTCTTGTTTCTTGTTTCTTGTTTTCGTGTCGTTGTGGTTTTTTGCCTTTTATTTCTCTTCTTATGTATTCCGGAGAGTCTTAAAAAAATATCGGGAAACTAGTCGGAAAAGTCACCGAAGAGTCCCTAGCCGGTCAGCTCGGTTCATGCCCGGTGGACTGAAGCCTTGCCACAGCCCCGCGACCCGTGCACCAGCGGAGACCCGTGCCTACCCTGTGAGACTCGTGTTGTCTAAAGAGTAACCGCGCGGGAGCTGCCCACATCGTCGAGCAGACCTCGATCTCGCGGGTTGGCATGCGATCCCGCTGCATCGCAAATGCCACAAATTGCATAGTAAGCTCGTGACCTCGCCTACCGTCTGGCCAGCTTGCGTGTGCCTGCGCGACCCGCGTACCTAGGAAGCCAGCGCCACACGTACAATTCGACCATCTCGCGAGTGTCTGTACGACCCCCGCGCCAAGGAATCCCACGTCACGCATACCGTCCGACCATATAGCGAGTGCAGTATTATGCCCATGTGGGCCTCAGTCGCGACCCAGCGGACAGTCGGGCCACTGCGCTAGTTCTAGACCATGCAGACTCGCGAACCAGCAGTTGATTTGGCTAGATAGCGAGTTTTGATTTTTATTGTGTGTTTTTTAGTGTTTGTTGTGGGTATTAGTAGAAATACATTTGCTCCTTTAAATTTTGTGAACCAATCTTTCATTTGTTTAGTTTTCTACTCTAGGTATCGTTCATTTTTCAGATTTTTCTATCTATTTTTACGTTTGGGATCTCCAAAACTCGTATTTTTCAGCGATGCCTTTTTTTATCAAAGTTTCGACCTTTCCGCATTAATTTTGTCCGAGCTCGCAAAAAAAAATAATAAGTACCTATCTTAGGACTTATTTCTTCAATTTTTTGTCCTTCTTGATTACGAAGTTATTCGAGGTAAAATTGGTGTCTTGGCCGGAACTATGTGTATTGGATCAGTTTTTGGTAAAGTTTCATGCTTTTTACTCCGATTTTTTTTCAAGCATGCAATAAAAGAGAGAGTACTCACTATTAAGAGTGAGTACTCACCAGATGATATGAGATACCATATCGGGTCGGTTTGACTCGGAAAAAACCTGATAGAATCTGGTAAAGCGATAGGTCGAATGGAGATTGAAGGCGCTACAAGTTGAAGAGTCCTAAGATCAATGAGGACGTCGCGGATACAAAGAGCACAGACAGATCGAGTTAGGGCCCTCGGATGGCCTGGTTGCAACTCGACCTGAAGGCATGACCGGTCGATGGATCGACCTGATGAGTAGAGTAAGTGAGCTCAGCATAGACAACACTCTACCTCGAGGTAATTTAGGTAGATCGCCCGATTAGACCACCTAATAAGATAGACTAATGGATAAGGAAAAATAATTAAGATAAGAACCACACATGGATAGAGCCACACAGCCTAACAGAATTGAACAGTTCGGGCAGTCTGGGTAGTCTTGGACAACAAGGTTATACACCCCTATATATAGATATAGGGGTGAGATATGTAAATTCTCTATAGAATCTACTTACTTACAGAACTATACACTATTGTTCATTGTCTTCCTCAGTTGAACTGACTTGATCATACTTTTAATTATGTTATTTACTAAAGTATGAAGTTTTAATTTCAAAGCATGTTCATTTGTTAAAAAAATGACTACATAACGGCAGTCTTAGGCTATGTTTGGTAAACCCAATTATTAAGTTAACTGATAGTTTGTAAGTGAATTTAGATTTTATAGTTGATAGCTTATAATCAATGGCTGTTATCATGAAAGTGTTTGATAAAATTGACAAATATGCCAATTGAAAAACAAATTTCAATAAACTCATTTGAATAGCTAATCAAAAAAGCTTATGAGATAAAAACTACTCAATGAAAGCATACGAAGAAATCTCGAACATTTTAAAGTTGATCGTATCTAACCAAATTTATTTCCTAACATGAAATTCAGACCAAATAAGATATAAAATAACTTATGTTGTTTACTTAAACAACTTTTAATACTAATCAAATTTTGTTGGTCATGTATTATAAAATTATTCTTTTTTTTTTACCATATTACCAATTGTTCATAGTATAAAAATCTACATTCCCACAACCTCTTTTAAAATAATTTAAACAATCTAACTATTGAACCGATAAATTCGCCCGAATTGACATATTACACAAGAGTAGGCACAAATAGCCACTACAAATGTATGCATGCCACATAAGCGGTGAACATATTAACATGTGTCCACCGTGGTTAATGGAGCATTTCTGTCTCTCTATATATATATATATAACATGACAAACAACTATCATAAACCACATATATAGCCTACACTTGTTTTCATAACTGAGATTCTCTGAAACTATAACAAACAAGGAGTAGACAAACAATGTCCAATAGACATCGTGATGCGACATCTAATATCTGCCCATATGCCAATACCGTCCAAAAATTGTGAACCTCACAAATAATGCTAACCGATTGACTCATCATACATTTTAAATATAGTATGAAAAAATTGCAAAAAATTCTATAGTATGTCATACATTTTTTTACTTGAATTATATTTTGAAATTAAAGGGTGACACAGAATTAGAACTGGCTGGAGAAAATATAACAAGCATAATTCAACACCATTTGCATATAGCAAAGAAACACAAATACCTTCAATCTCATGAAATTTGATGTTACAATATCCCCCAAACTTGTATACCAAATATTACAATCGCCCTAAACTGAAAACCAATTGTAAATATATTTTAGAGTAGAACAAAATCCCCAGCACAAACCTGATAATGCAACAAACTGAAAAATACACCCAGTGAGTAAACCAGTCTCGAGCGAATATATACACGCATAAAGAGAGCTGAAACCTTCGAAAAATGAGGTTGATGACGGTGAAGTTGATCCAATATCGATCCTCAGCCATTCGAGTAAAAAAAAAAAAATTAGCTGTTTGGA